CTCTACCCTTGAAGAAAAGGCAGAGTCCAAGGGAAAGGCAGACAAGAAGGTGGCCTGCTGGTGGGACCCAGAAACCTCGGCAGGAGAAACCGGCTCAAATATCTCCATCTCCGACCCGAATGGGGCAGCCCCCGAAGCCGCCCGAGTCTTATTACCAATGAAACTCTGTGCCGAATCCGAAACCCTCAAGACGTTTGGGAGCCAGACACAGGAGGGGAAGGTGCAGGATGAACAACAGGGGAAGGACCAGGAAGGAAGGAGTCAAAGTCAAAGCGACTAACGCCCCCATGTCTGGGTCCCTAAAACCAAAGTGGGGCAGCCTCGGGGCATCCGGGTGGGAAACCAACCTAGTGCGAGGTTGCAGTAACCTAAACCTAACATGCAATGCGGATGCTTCCTATACCTTAAGAGCAACATCTGAGTAAAACTGGAGCACCAGCAGAAAACACGACTTGCAAGACTTCGGGTCAAATGTGTCGTTGACCCAACGGGCAGCATGACGGAGGCAAAACAGGTGACTGTCACTCTGAAATAATGGCACACAGCAACCTTCAAACCCGCACAAGGCAGGCTGGAACTCGGAAGATGCATCCATGGGTCCACCGAGCCCCGACAGGGTTTCCCAGGGCCCTAACAACTAAGGGAAGCCCGGGCAAGGTGTTGCTAACCAGTTAAACACCCAAACTAACAAGGGGTAGATGACAACACTGAAACCCCTGTGATGTGTACAAGCACAGGTGGCCTAGCAGAGGGCCACCAAAACAGTATCAGGGGAACTATAGTCCCACCAGGCACACAAAAACAAAGCAAAACAAAACCCCCGCAAAAGTACACCGTCCCCAGAGGCAACAGGAACCGGTCGCCGCGTAGATGGCTGGTCGCGCAACAGCTTGATGTCCTAACACAACACCACTCCCTACCCAAGGCCAAACAAGGGCCCAAGACGCAGCTTCCCCCAAGGGTGAAGTAAATGCCCTCACGTGGCAACAGGCCACCGACCTCCAAGGCCTTGCGGGAGGGATGGGAGGTAGTGATTGATGGAGGGAGGCAGTGATTGATGGAGGGAGGCATTGAGGGGGAAAGGCAGAGAGAGTGTTGGGGGTGGTGGTGGTATTGAGGGAGGGAGGAAGGGAGGGAGGGAGGGAGAGGAGTGGTGTTGAGGGAGGGAGGGAGAGGAGTGGTGTTGAGGGAGGCAGGGAGAGGGGTGGTGTTGAGGGAGGTAGGGAGAGGGATGGTGGTGTGTTGAGGGAGGCAGGGAGAGGGGTGGTGTTGAGGGAGGCAGGGAGAGGGGTGGTGTTGAGGGAGGTAGGGAGATGGGTGGTGTTGATGGAGGCAGGGAGAGGGGAGGTGTTGATGGAGGCAGGGAGAGGGGAGGTGTTGAGGGAGGTAGGGAGAGGGGTGGTGTTGAGGGAGGCAGGGAGATGGGTGGTGTTGAGGGAGGCAGGGAGAGGGGTGGTGTTGAGGGAGGCAGGGAGAGGGGTAGTGTTGAGGGAGGCAGGGAGAGGGGTGGTGTTGAGGGAGGTAGGGAGAGGGGTGGTGTTGAGGGAGGTAGGGAGAGGGGTGGTGTTGAGGGAGGTAGGGAGAGGGGTGGTGTTGAGGGAGGCAGGGAGAGGGGTGGTGGTAAGGAAGGCGGAGGGCAGAATTGCTGACAAAGGCGATGGTGCCAAACCTCTCACCCCATACTGTATTAAATTTTGTAATCTTAGTTGTAAAATATTTATGCCAAAATATGTTAGTTTTCGTATATAACTATACATTATTAATCAATAACATGTTTTATAGTTTCCTATTTGTTAATTAAACAAATATAGTTTTATTTATGAATTATGCACAGCTGGCATCTGCGAACAGGAGCTGACAGATGTCGGGTAGCCAGGCCTCGACCCCGTTATAGTAGCTCCCTCGACCCCGTTAGTAGCTCCTTCCTCCATCGCCTGCTGTTCTCATGTTATGAGGAAGGCAGTGAGGGAGGGGATGAAAGATAATGAGGGAGGGGATGGAAGATAATGAGGGAGGGGATGGAAGATAATGAGGGAGGGGATGGAAGATAATGAGGGAGGGGATGGAAGATAATGAGGGAGGGGATGGAAGATAATGAGGGAGGGGATGGAAGATAATGAGGGAGAGGATGGAAGACATTGAGGGAGGGAAGGGAAGGAGGTGTTTGGTTTATATGGTTTACTTATTGTGTGGTCCACTTGTTATACAGTATAAAGTATATCCTACCTGAATGTTACTTTAAAAATTACCGACATCTTACCTTCGGGAATACCGGAGCTCCGGAAATAACGACCAGGGTACAGCCCCATATAGGCCGTTAAATTGAGTGGATACTGTATTAGACCCCTGGCATCAATCAAACAAATGGAGTTCTAGGCCTACCGGGGACCTCGAGCCAGAACCTGACCCCCACAGAGAGGCACGAGGAGCAATGGCCTATAGAAACCCCCATGTGGTTGGAAGCATTCTATGTCTGCCATCGACCAGGTCAGGCACCCAGAAAGGTAGGCGCCCCAAAACAAACCCTATCTGGTTAAAATATTGCTATTGAAAGCCGAACTGTTGGACAGAACTCTCCAAACAAAAAACAAGCAATCGAGTACAATGTCACTCACCATGCCGCTGTCTGTGCAGCTCCCTCTTCCCTGGGAGGGAAAAGGGGAAGCCCCAGACCCCTTGTGCCAGCTATCTAACTCATTAGTTTTGAAGCTGGATGTCAAAAACTCACGAGACTGCCGACCAGAGGGAGGAGGGATGCTGGGAGCCTCCGGATCTCACCCAGAAAATGGTGTTTCATTACATTCAATGCTGGTTTTCTGGAAGAAGTCCCCTCCGGCTCCCTGGAGCTACGTAACCAAAGATAAAAACAAGAGAGACTTACCCGGGAGACAGTCGCCACTCGCTCCTCAACTCCAAGTTGAGACAACTGGCTGCAACCACCGACTCAACGAGATACATTCCGAGGAGGGCCAGGAACATTGATAAGGTAGCGACCGGCCTGGACCCTGTTTGACCTTCAAAATCTCTATGCCTGAATCTCAGCCCAAGACATGTTACCGAAGACAGCAGCCAAAGCAGCAAATTTACAAACGTTGTGGACACGAGGATAGACTGCAGACTGGCTAGACTGAATAACCCTGCGGACGACCTGGGAGACCGGAGCCCGTGAACGGAGAAGAAGGGAAACTGGGTCAACCCAAAATGCGTCCTCAGCCAATGAGGCCGTGGCACACAGGTAACAGCCAAGAGCCGCAACTGGACACAACGCATGATGCACCCATGGCTGAACCAACCAAGCATCAACAACCCAACAACCCCTCTGGAAAGCAACTGTCTCATTCTTCACCAGAAAAGAAGAAGACGGCTGCAAATGAACAAACCTACCACCAGGACCAAAATAGCAAAAACCCCTGGGCCAGAGGAGAGCATGGAGCTCCCCAACCCGACCCCCAGAGGCCAATGCCAACAGGAAAAAGAGCCCTCAGAAAACAATCTGCAATCGTGTTACTCCTGGCTCACACACCACCACACAGGAGAACAACACTGCTATGGACAGCACTGCTCAAAACGATAGAACCCAAGTCGATTGACCACCACCAAACACAACAGCCTTTGAACTGGGGATGAGTAGCAGGCACGGGAGATCTGGGACTACCCCCTTCCCACTCCAGGGGAGGGGAAAGTTGTGCAGACAGTGGCGAGGCAGCTGTGGTGATGTCATACTTGTTTGCTCGTTTTTAATTGGAAAGTTCTGCTTGTTAGTTCAGCTATTAGTTTGCAATTTTTAACCAGCTGTAGTTTGTTTTGGAATTCCTACCATTCTGGGTGCCTGACCTAGTAGATGGCAGACATAGACTGCTTCCAATTACAGGGCATCTATAGGTCATTGCTCCTCATGCCTCTCTGAGGGGGCCAGGTTCTGGCGTTGGTCCCCAGTAGGCCTAAAACTCAATCGACTGACTGTTGCCACGGTCTAATATATACACATCAGCCCGACATAACTCCGGGAAGCCGAAGGGGCTATCCACAGAAATTTAGTTATATATAATGAATACAATATATACAGTGCAATAACAGAAAAATAGTATGTTTTATTGTTCAAAGAATGTAATATTGTGCACATATAGGTAACACAAATATATCTGTATGCGCCTATGTTCTACATGTTCTGTGATAAAAATAACATTATTGTCAGCCACTGCATCATTGCACTTGAAAAATACAATGGTTAAAACATTAGAAATACAAAGAAAGTATTTTATGTTCAATGCACGTAGTTAAAATTTTGTGCAAAACATTTAGAGCTAGGCTGAACTTTGATAATTGGTTACATGATTATTATACCCCTTAGTGGTTCATAATGGTGCATGAAATGTAGATAGTTATATATAATGTGTGTATATACAGTGTAATAACAGCAAAAACAATATGTTTTATTCTTCTAAGAATATAATATTGTGCTCATATTTGTGACACAAATATATTTGAGCATTTCAATGTTCCACACATTTTATTACATAAATTTCTCAAATGATACACTATTTGAGAAATTATTTCATGAACGCTTGTGAATCATGACATCATCGCATGTTTTCCATCCTTCACCACGGCCAAATTTACCCGATTTTTGTTTTTCCCATGAACATGGGAATGCATTTTAACAGTATTAGAAATAGTGTTCACCCACACCAGGGAAATGTCAGCTATATACACGGGCATAGTGCAGGGGTTAAAATGGTTCCAAAGTCTGCCGCCAAGCATCGTATTGTTATAGGGTCTGCCATCATAGCCATATAACAATAGAAACCTTCCTTGCACAACTTTAAATAAGTCTTAAAAATTTTAAGCCGATATGAGTAAGCATTCTTTAAACCACACATGGACATTATAAATTTAAAAACAAAAACAAAAAACATCGGAGAAAACCTACTGAATAAGGCATTCCTAATACTGAATTCAGAGCTAAAATAAAGACTACAATGTGTAGAGCCCCAACTAACCTTGTACTCCTTGCAACAAGGTTCCTACCCCTTCTCGGTACATATCTAATGCTTGCTTGTAGTCCCTATTTTGCTCATGGTGTTGTGCCTCATTGATTTGCTGTGCTGCAACAAATATGTATTGAGTATTTGCCACCTCCTGTGGACTTGGAACTTTGTGCGTTGGGAGAACAGGAGTCACAGTTGTACTTAAAGGTGTCAGAGGGGTAAGGGGAACTGAATTTTTCCTGCTGGAGGTACTTATTCGTCTTTTGATTTCCAGAGGGGGTACTGGACATGTAGTCTGTTTCACCCGGGCAGGTGTTGGGTCAATGATATTCTCAGCAGAAGTTCCTTGAGTGTCTTCACTTGGACGTGGGTCACGATGTTGCTTCGGGGAGTCATGCACAGGGTTCTCATATACACAGCATGGCTGTGAGGACAAACTTGATAATGATGATATAGAAGCATGTCTCTCAACCTGGTTAAGAATATCTTTACTATTTTTATCATCACAATTTCCAATAGAATAAGTAAAACCATTGTCGTCTACACCATTCTCACTTGACACATCACATCGAACATCACATTTTACTTTCTCTTCTCTTTCTATGTCTTCAACAGTTATATTTGATTTTTTTTCTGTTAAGTTTTCATGACAATTATAACTATGTGAGCCAATATTTTGAACAGTAGCTATGAGCCCCAAGGCTCCAGGATGGTCCCCTTTGGTAGATGCAGTCAAAGTATCCACGGCTCTCTGTGAACTGCCAGTTTTGTCAGAAGCCTCAGCAGGTAAAGTCTCAGTAGTGGAAGCAGATGGGCACGGTAGACCAGCTGGTGAGAAGTCAGGGCTGGAGCAGATACTGAAGTCATCCTCTGTGTCACTTAACTGAGAGTATAGTGATGAGGATTCTTGTATTCCAAGTGTTGATGCCAGAGACTCGGCCTCCTTAAATCTGTTGGGAAGTAATATTTTATTAAACATGTGCACTTTCCACACATTAAAGCATATTCATTAATTAAATACAGAATATTTCATCCAAAATAGATCAACATTGAATGTAATGAAATTATTCTTCCTGGCAAGTCAATCAGTAGCTCCCTGATGCTACTGCCTGGAAGCCACCAAGCCTTGTGTAATATAAAAAATTCTTTGCAACTGGCTAGCAAATTTGTAAGGAGTTTGTGTCAGGGTTACTAATGTTTTTTCATACAGTTGCTTGCCTATGGGCATTCTAAATTTCTGGTGGCCTTTTTTCTCTTGGCCTGGATTGATATAGAATACTCACTCTCTCTCTTGCCTCTATAAAGTGGCCTGGATTCTGTTTCTGGTTTGCAGTAAGCGCTTGTGATTCACAAGGGCCTGGTGGGATAGGTTAATGATCTTCAATGAAACCAGGCGGGTGACTTGGGGAGCACCTGAGGGGAGCCCATTCAGGAAAGTTACAAAGCCAAATACAAAAGAAGAACATCTGCTAAGCAACTTTAGAACCAGAACATGAAGTTGTTCTGAACCCACATCAGAACTACTCTTCAACAGTTCTTGTGTGGTGACAAAGTCGCAATGCACTAGGTTATCTTGAGGTTATCTTGAGTAGCTAACCTCTTCCTCTCCAAAACTCTAAGCCTCTACAACCTTCATTGTCCCCTTCTTACAAAGCAAATAACTGACAAAAGATTAAACAATCCATGGCTCACAAATGGCATTCTCAACTCAATCAACAAGAAACATGAATATGAAAAGAAAGTTAGGATTGGCCTAGTTTCAAGGGAAGTAGCTAAAAGGTACTCATCAATGCTTACCAGTATCATAAGAAAGGCAAAACTTGCATATTATGTGAATAGATTCAATGAAGCAAAAGGTAACATGAAAAACACTTGGAAAACTATCTCTAGTATCCTAGGAACTAAACAACACTCACATAACCAAATAAAACTCTACAAGGATGGGGATATACCGTCAACTGATTTAGAAATGGCAAATGAATTTAATAGTTTCTTTTCATCGGTTGGTGCTAATCTTGCCAGTAAAATCCCACAGACTCAGACACATATTAACACATATCTCTCAGGCAGCTATCCAAACTCTCTTCTCCTTTCACCAATCAGCCCGGCAGATGTTGTGTCCATCATACACTCTCTAAAAACCAAGGCAGGGAACACCAGTGAAATTCCGTCCATTGTGTACAAGAGAGCCTCCCATGCCCTTGCCCCACCCATAGCACTACTGTTCAACAAATCTATAGAGTATCACACCTTCCCTGATATCCTCAAAAAAGCAAGAGTAACGCCAGTCCATAAAGGAGGCAATCCGGCGGACATAAACAATTATAGACCAATATCAAATCTACCCATTCTATCAAAAATATTTGAAAAAATTATTTACAAACAGCTCTATTCCTACCTCGTAAAATTCGACATACTCAGCCCCTGCCAGTTTGGCTTCCGGTCCCAAAAGAGTACCAATGATGCAATCATTAGTCTCCTTGACATTATCTACTCAGCCCTTGACAAAAATGAGTTTCCGATTGGACTCTTCATTGACCTAAGAAAAGCCTTTGATACTGTTAATCACAACTACCTCTTATTTAAACTCCAGCATTATGGAATCCGAGGCCTTGCCCTTGACTACATCCGATCCTATCTTAGTGACAGACACCAATATGTAACCATCAATGATACAACTTCTTCCACTCTACCAATTACCGTTGGAGTGCCACAGGGCAGCATCTTAGGACCTCTTCTATTTCTTATATATATAAACGATCTGCCTAATGTCTCTAATATTCTCAAACCTATATTGTTTGCTGATGATACTACCCTTATCTACTCAAACCTCAACCCACATACACTAAATAATGTTGTGAATAATGAATTAAAAAAAGTCCACTTATGGATGTCAACGAACAAACTAACATTAAACATCGAAAAGACCTACTACATCTTATTTGGAAGCAAATCATCAAATGCAATTCAGCTACAGATAGACAACATTAACATCAGTAATAAAAATGATGGCAAGTTTCTTGGCCTATTCCTAGACAAGAGACTCAATTTCAGTACCCACATTCAACACATAACTAAGAAAGTCTCTAAGACAGTTGGTATACTCTCCAAAATCAGATATTATGTTCCTAACTCTGCTCTCCTCTCACTATATTATGCACTAATCTACCCCTATCTTAATTATGGTATCTGTGCATGGGGGTCTACCACTGCAAACCACCTTAAGCCCATCATCACACAGCAAAAATCTGCTATCAGAATAATAACTAACTCTGCTTTCAGACAACACTCAGCTCCCTTGTTTAAATCTCTAAACTTGCTAAATATTAACTCCCTCCACACATTCTCTTGTGTCAACTACATTTACAAAACCCTGTTCTTAAATGCAAACCATGCTCTGAAACTCTCCCTGGACAGATGTAATAGGACCCATTATCACCACACCAGAAATAAATATCTCTTTGATATCCCCAGGGTCAAACTTAATCTGTGTAAACACTCTATGCAAATTAAGGGACCTAGTCTATGGAACTCACTCCCTAGTGAATTGAAAAACTGTAAAACTTTTGCCTTATTTAAAAGCAAAACCATGATTTCGGGGCTTTTAGTGTCCCCGCGGCCCGGTCCTCGACCCGGCCTCCACCCCCAGGAAGCAGCCCGTGACAGCTGACTAACACCCAGGTACCTATTTTACTGCTAGGTAACAGGGGTATAGGGTGAAAGAAACTCTGCCCATTGTTTCTCGCCGGTGCCTGGGATCAAACCCAGGACCACAGGATCACAAGTCCAGCGTGCTGTCCGCTCGGCCGACCGGCTCCCTAACGTCAAGCCTAACCTCGGGCCGGGCTTGGGGAGTAGAAGAACTCCCAGAACCCCATGAAGCAGGTATCACTAGCCCACAAAGAGGCAACTAGATGTAATCTTCCAAAGGAGGAACTCAACACCTTAGAGATGATAATGCAAATGAACAGTTGTCACTGGCAGTGCTAGAAGAGTAAACAATGAAACTAAACTTGAGGAAGATGGTAGCAAGTGACATTCAATGTGAACAGCTTACAGCTCTACATGCTCCTGAAACAAAATAAACATGAACCAACTACTCTTAAGTATGCTGTACATTTATCTTCGAATAGGCAGTGGCCTTTGAATGACACTACTGTATCAAGATGTGAATAGCCAAGCACCAGGTATGAGAGTGAAATGGATTCATCACCTAGACTCAGTGTGGGATGGTCTGCCACCTAGTGGCAGACAGGGAAGTTGATGAGTGTACTTCATCAGTGCCTGTATTTGTCTGAGTTGAGTTCTGGCAGTTCAGTACTCTTCAAAATATTTATCATGTAAAAGTTTGCATATTGTTGCTTCTTTTCCATTCCTTATTGAATGGTTTGCCTTGGAAATTGACTGATATTTAATGCCAATGCATTCCCTGCTTCATAAAAGAGGCACAAGAAATTTATAAGAGCCCATGTCTCCAGTGGCCAATACAGTTTTGCAGATACAAAGTGTTGACTAGTCTGTCTAGTAATACCATAATACTCCTCCTGGTTGATACCTGGTTGATGGGTCTCTGGGAGTTCTTCTACTCCCTAAGCCCGGCCCAAGGCCAGGCTTGACTTGTGAGAGTTTGGTCCACTAGGCTGTTGCTTGGAGCGGCCCGCAGGGCCACATACCCACCACAGCCCGGTTGGTCCGGCACTCTTTGGAGGAATAAATCTAGTTTCCTCTTGAAAATGTCCACGGTTGTTCCGGCAATATTTCTTATGCTTGCTGGGAGGGTGTTGAACAACCGGGGACCTCTGATGTTTATACAGTGTTCTCTGATTGTGCCTATGGCACCCCTGCTCTTCACTGGTTCTATTCTGCATTTTCTTCCATGTAACCCTGTACACTCAACATCTCAGCTTCAAACTCTATCTTTCATTTCCATCCTCAATTAATTAACAGCACCATAGTCACCAAGATATTATTCCAGTACAGTCAGGTTCGTTCACGACTCATGAGCGGGAATTCCAGGTTCAAATTCAGGGCAGGACAGAAGTGGGTTGGGCATGTTTCCTATCACCTAATGCTCTGTTCACATAGCAGTAAATACTGTAGGTATCCAGGAATTAGTCAGCATATTGTGAGGTTGTATCCTGGGAGTTGCCACAAATATATTGTCAATTATTTGTTCTGAGTATTTCCAATGCGGCTTTATTTCTTTCTTTTCTATCATATATGATGCATATTTGTGTCCTTTATAATATGTATACAGTAGAACGTTCATAATGTTCCATGGAACTGTGATACATAAATCAGTAATGTCCACAATAAATGTTTATTGTTGCAATATTACTTGTTAAAAATTCACTAAAATTACAATATGTACAGTTTCACACACTATTTACACAGTAACACACTGTATTACACACTCAGTACTTTGGAAGTGAGTAATAATCAACGAAGTAGTCCATGGTGCACAGCGCGACTTCCCTCTCGTTGCACCAGATAAATTCTCACTTCCTGTTTCTTCATTCTGTGTGCTTGCAAATAACGCACTCACATACACCCTTGGCTTTAGTACTTGTAGATTGCATGTAGCCAAGCTTGTAAAGCATAAGGTAGTATTGAAAAGATTATAGGAAAAGTTCAATTTGTAAGGTAGTCTTGAAAAGATTGTTTTGTATGATCCCACACAGAAAGAGATTCAGGTATTCTTGAAAATATCTATGGAAAACACCACCATGGAAGCCGCTAATACTGTTCATCTATGCTACTTGTATCGGATGCATCGTCAGTGAACGCAGAAAACGATTCATCTATGTATCATCTAAATAAATTGGAGATAGCATAGGATTGCAAGGGTGACGCTTAGAGCTACAACTGGATACGCTCGCTGTATCGTCCTCATAGGTGCTGTATCACTTGCATCCGACTTTTGTGTTAGGTCCTTATTGCGCCTAGCTTCACCAATATTATGACCCTAATGTTCTTCAAACAATAAGGTTTGAATTTCACCGACAGAGTGTGATCTTTCAAAGCTACGTTGGATAGGTGTTTGGGAGCCAGAGCCGCGTGCGCCACCCATGGTTGCTTACTCAGAACTAACCCAGCCAGCAGCCCTAGGGCATTCTGGGAATTTTTTCCAAGATGGCTGCCTCTCACTGGAGGTCCTAAGAGTCCTTTTTGTACACAACCAACACATTTAGAATGGGTACAGAAAAATCGAAGAGTTTTCTTGGTTGGCGCAGTTTCCCGCCGACCAAGAATACTTGGTTGGCGCAGTTAAGTGGCTAATCGACTGAGCCATGACATGGTCAAAAGAATTGCAACTGGGGTTGCTACTGCTCTCACACGAATCCCGCAGTCTCTCCAAGACAAACCGGGGTTTTACACAATTCCCCCATGCACTCGGGCTCTGTCAACAAGCTATTCTACCTCTTTGCCCTTACTTCAATACACACAAATCACAATAGCATGATGTATCAAATGAATAAATCCACGTCATTACTCAGTCGATTAAGGCACGTCTGGGATCATCCTGGACATAAGTTCGAACCCTCATCACGGTCCTTGTGGATTTATTCATTTGATATATCACGCTATTGTAATTTCTGTGTGTATTACAGTAAGGGCGAAGAGCTAGAATAGCTTGTTGACAGAGCCCAAGTGCATGGGGGAATTATGTAAAAAAATAGTTTGTGTCTCGGAGAAAGGAAGACTGGTCGACGACCGATCAGCAGGGACGCTAAGCCCCAGAAGCACCTCAAGGTAACCTCAAGGTAGGTGACACAGACAAATATATACCACATCCTGAATTACCTTCCCTTGGAGTTTTTCCTCGCCTTATGGCCCAAAAGATGTCGACTTCCATTTTCCTCATTCTGAAAAATATAGTTCATTAAAACATTATGAAGTTGTAAAAAAAATTGTGTGCAAGCATCAATATAAACTTATAATATATAGTGAGAAGTTCACAATAAATAGCAAGACCTTGTGTGACAACACAAAAGCTACAAAATAAACATTACTGTAGACTTTAAAATGTAGAGAACCACAAAAAATCAGCGTTGAATATAATGAAACGCCATTTTCTGGTTAAGACCCAGAGGTTTCCCGGAGCTATACCGGGCTGATGTGTATATATTAGACCGTGGCAACAGTCAATTGATGGAGTTCTAGGCCTACCGGGGACCAGCGCCAGAACCTGGCGTCCTCAGAAGCACAAGGAGCAATGACCTATAGACACCCTCGTGTAATTGGAAGCAATCTATGTCTGCCATCTACCTGGTCAGGTACCCAGAAAGGCAGGAATTTCAAAACAAACTACAGCTGGTTAAAAATTGCAAACCAAAAGCCGAACTAGCAAGCAGAACTCCGCAATCAAAAACAAGCATGACATCACCACAGCCGCCGCGCTGCTGTCTGTGCAACTCCCCCCTCCCCGGGAGCGGGAAGGGGGGTCCCAGACCTCCTGCACTGCTATCCAACTCCAGTTCGGAGGCTGAATATCAAAAACGCGCAAAAAAGTTCGACTGGAAGGAGGAAGGGATGCTGATGCTGGTGGAAGGTCTCACCCAGAAAATGGAATTTTATTAAATTCAACGCTGGTTTTCTGTGGAGAGACCCTTCGGCTCACTAGAGTTACCTAACCAAAGATAAAGGAAAATGAGGGGCTTATCCAGAAGATGGCCACCACTCACTTCTCAACTCGAAGTTGAGACAACTGGTTGCAACCTGTGACCCAAGGCTACACACGCCCGAGAAGGAGCAGAAACATTAATGAGGGACCGTGCGGCCAGGACCCTGTTCGACCTCCAAAAGCCCAGTGCCTGAATGTCAGCCCAAGACATACAGTATTAGCAGAAAACCAGCGTTGAAGGTAATGAAACATCATTTCCTGGGTGAGACCCTGAGGCTTCCCGGAGCTATTGGGCTGATATTAGACCCTGGCATCAGTCAAGTGCATGGAGTTCCAGGCCTACTGAGGACCACGAGCCAGAACCTGGCCCCCTCAGAGAGGCACAAGCAGCAACGGCCTACAGAAATCCCTGTGTGGTTGAGAGCATTCTATGTCTGCTATCGACCGGGTCTGGCATCCAGAAAGGTAGGCACCCCAAAACAAACCCCTATTCTGGTAAAATATTGATACTAAAAGTCAAACTAGTGGACAGAACTCCCCAAATGAAAACGAGCAAAGGAGCAAGACGTCACCAAGTTACCGCACCATCGTCTGCACAACCCCCACTCCAGGAAAGGGGGGGGGGAGGGTGGCCAGGGAGCTTCCGGGTCTCACCCAGAAAATGGCATTTCATTACATTCAACAATGGTTTTCTGGGGAGCACTCCATTGGCTCCCCGGAGCTACTTACCCAAAGACAAAAACAAGAGGGACTTACCCGGGAGGCAGTCTGTCATCGCTCCTCAACTCAAAGTTGAGACAACTGGCTGCAACCGCCAACCCAATGCGACACAGGCCCGACTAGGCCTAGAAATGTTGCCAAGGTGGCAAGCAGCCAAGACCCTGTTCGACCTTCAAAAACCCCATGCTCAAATGTCAACTCAAGACATGTTACCGAAGACAGCAGCCAGAGTACCAAACTTACGAACGTAGTGGGCACAACACAAGGATAGACCACAGGTTGGCCAGATCGAATAACCCGATAATAATAAGGAAGGGAGCCAGTCGGCCGAGCGGACAGCACGCTGGACTTGTGATCCTGTGGTCCTGGGTTCAATCCCAGGCGCCGGCGAGAAACAATGGGCAGAGTTTCTTTCACCCTATGCCCCTGTTACCTAGCAGTAAAATAGGTACTTGGGTGTTAGTCAGCTGTCACGGGCTGCTTCCTGGGGGTGGAGGCCTGGTCGAGGACCGGGCCGCGGGGACACTAAAAAGCCCCGAAATCATCTCAAGATAACCTCAAGATATAACCCTACAACCTGGGAGACCGGAACTCTGGAACAGGGAAGAAGGGAAACCGGGTCAACCCAAAGCGCACCCCCGGACACAGAAGCCATGGAGCGCAGATAACGGTGGAGAGCCGCAAACGGACACAACACACGATGCACCCCCGCCTGACTAACCAAACATCAACAACCCAAGGACACTTGCGGAAAGCAACAGTCTCATTCTTCGCCAGAAAAGAAGGAGACGGCTGCAAATGAACAAACCTACCACCTGGATCGAAAGAGCAGAAACCCGAGCCAAAGGAGCACATGAAGCTCGAACCGACCCGACCCCCAGAGGCCAATGCCAACAAGAAAAAGAGCCTTGGAGAAGGAATCCTGAACCGAAGGGGCCACAACAAACCAAGAAGAAGAGAGAAAAGAGAGCATCTGGTTCAACGACCAGGACGGCTCAGGCAGAGCATGAGCAGGCCGGAGGTGAAACAGCACACGAGACAGCTTGCGGAACGGTGCAGAAGTAACAACACCAAATGCAAGCCGCAGCGGCTACACTAGCACCACACGATACGAGACGACAGTATTCGGCATAAGATGACAGTCCTGGAACAACAACGAAAGAAAGGACAAAACAACCCTATCAGAGACAGAAGTAAACCTACGAAGGAACAAGAAATAAAGGAAGAACTGCCAGAAAACTTCATAATGCCGCCGAGACGAAGCCACCTGCGCACCATACAAGTGATGATAGACCCGTGTCAGAAAGATCAGACACAAAGACTTGAGGAGAAGATCGAACCAACAACATACCGGACTTTCCCTGATCTGCCGAAAAAGGCGGAGCCGCGGGAAAAATCCAGGGTTCGGACACCGAGCAAGCAGTGCCTGAAACCAAGGCTGGGCCGGCCACCAAGGGCCTAGAAGGACAACTCTCCCTTGGTAAGTCTCCAAGTGAGCTAGGACCTGGAGCAACAGCAGAACTGGGAGAAAGAGGTACACGTAACCCCACCTCCAACAGTCCTGCCTTAAGGCATCGACCCTGATGGCCTTGCAGTCGGGAAAGGGCACCACATATAACGGGAGACGCCTCGACCAAACTGACGCAAAGAGGTCCACCTCCGTGAGCCTGTATGTCCGGCAGAGCCAACTGAACGAGTTGGCGTCAACCGTACACTTCGTGGACAGGGGAATGAACCAAGACAGGCCATCCACCAGGCCGTTGGACATCCCCTGAACGTGAACAGCTAGGATAGCCAAACCCAAAGAACTTAGCAGACGAGTCACCCAAGGCGACCAACCCTAAAGAGAAAAGGACCGCATCGAACCCCCTTGCTTCAGGCAATGAACCACCGGGGAGCAGTCTGAATGGAGCTGGATTGTTGATCCACGAGCGACTCGAACCTCTGAAGTGACATCCACACCGCCACGAACTCCCGCAGAGTGCTGAGAGCCCGAAAGAAGAACAGACCCCACTGCTCCTGGCCAGCCTGGTGAGCAGTGGCCACAAAGCCTCAGCCCAGTGACGACGTCTCTGTGAACACATAAGGTGAGGGCTCGGGTAGGCACCAAGGCACTGAACCCCGAAAAACCCAAAGAGAAAGCCGGCGATGCAGCAACCGACGCAAAGCCTCTGGAGGCCGAACCCAACGATTGCGAGAGAGGAGGAAGGGACATCACCGAAGGAACCAGAACAGTCAATGATCACAAGAGAGGTGGAAGGGACGTCCCGGAATGAACCAGAACAGCCAACTAAGGCAAACCCGACCAGGCGGGTAGACCGTCAAGGCAAAAATCAAGTTCAAGCACAAACCCTCGAGCAACTGACATGTGACCCGGGGGCCCCGAGAAACAAGCGAAGGCAGGACTGCACCCGAAGCAGAGCTACTGGAGGGAGAGACAAGGAAGCGGTCTGAGCGTCCCACACAAGGAAAGGAAAGAAAAGAAAAGGAAAGAAAAGGAAAGGAAAGGAAATGCGGTGGCGTTGCTGTGCTGGTGAAAACACCTAAAGGTAAACAAATGACAAGAATTTGAACAGCGTCTGTTCGAGGATTCGAAAGGCAGCATCTAGGATACTCTTGGACGCAGGTTCGAATCCTCGTCACGGCTCTTGTGGATTAGTTCATTTGATGCATCACGTTATTGTGATTTCTGTGAGTACCTAAAAAGGTAAACAAAATAATGATTGCCAATCTACGAGAAGTTGCCATAATAGCACTAGATATCTGCAATCAGGATGATAAACTAACGATCATAAATGCAAATAGTCCACTGCCATGCAACACATGGTCAAAGAAGGAGCTGGATAATAAATGTGAGTCTTATAACAATAATGAGAGAGATTATAGCGAGAGCTGATAAAGATAGATAACGACTATTGGTAGTCGGCGACTTCAACTTGAAATCCATAGACTGGGAGGCATATGAAGCTAGAACAGACGATTTTTGGACTTGTAGATTCAAAAACTTCATCCTGTTAACATTCATGTTTCAACATGTTAACCCTTTAACTGTGCAATGCGTCTGCAGGCCCACGCCTGGGGTGCACAACGAGCCTCCAGGTATTTGTATTTTTCACGTTCCATTCAAAACTCCCGTGGCTACATGGGGTTCACATCAGCTTCCTTAGGGCTCTTGTAAATAGACGCCATCTTTAAAAAAAATCATGGTCCACATTCCCGGGTGTGAGAGTCTCAGTACTCGGTGAGCAACCAAGGCTAGCGCTTGCAGCATGAGCGCACAGCACTGCTGTTCAGTGTGTGACCACAGCATCGCCTAATAATGTCAAAATATATATATATAACTTAAATTATTTAGTCATGATAGTATTATAGAAGAGCCTGAGTGTGATAATGACTGGGTACAATGCTCAAATATCAGTGATTCAATGCTGTTCACGATCTTCACAGCACTAGCAATAGCACCACGGCATTATTTCGTCCATCTAGGAATCTTCAAACGACTTCTTAAGTTCCTTTTCAAAATAAACTTGTGGGTCAATTATTCATTTACAGGAATTAGTGACCAGGATTGTGGTTATAATTAGCGTTGTGTGTAGTATTG